TTTTACATTATCACGGTTAACCTGTTCTTCAGGGATAAAAGTGGATTAAATCATTTTCTTTCAGTTACCGTGGGTTGTCTTGTTTTGCATCAGCGCTACCAGCTGAGGTACGCACGCTATATGTTGCTTGTAGATGGAGGCACTAGCCAAGATGAAGCTACTGATGTTGAAACTGATACTGAGACGCGAAATATCAATAAAATGGTGAATGGTGCTTCTTCTAGTGACTATTGTTCATCAGGTAAGTTTCAACCCGCTGAATCCCTTAAACATTCTCTGCAAAACTTTTAATTAGGGAGAAATTCTGTGAATTCAAATGAATAATGATTCAGAGAAAGATTTAATGATCTTCCAATCTGTTCCAAGTAAGCTCATGTTGGTGAGAGAACCCACCAGTTTCTGGGGTTACACACTAGGAGGGCGTGATGTGTTACAAATCTTTGTATTCCAGTCATATGAATTCCATTAATTGAGTAAGGTAGACTTATTGTATCCCAGATGCACAGTTGACATGAATAATTCTAGACTGTATAAATAAAATGTTTGATACTGAGGTTATTGTTTGTTGTTAAGTATGTTAGAATTGTAATGATGTGTTCTATTAAAAGTAAAGACTAAAAGAGTAAGTGACAATAATTCTATAAAGCCATCAAGTCAATTCACGATGTGACTTGCAAGTTCTTTTGTAATTTTTTTTGCCGTTTTGTATTAATATAATTTCATGACAAAATACTTAAAATATTTATTGTAATCATTTATGGTTCCAAGAAACCTTACGAAACTCTTGGAGGGGATGGCCTGTGTTAATACTCCATCCACAAGGAGAGGAGAGGCTCTTGTATTGTTGGGATTGATTTAGGTTGCAACCACAAAGCAGTGAGAGACATTGAGGAGCTGGCCTCTCCCACCACAGCAGATGGGGGTGATTTGTGCCCAACCCAATTCAGTTGCCCGTCATCGATTCGAGAACAGTGCCATACTCGTGTTGACCAGTACCACATTCAATCCGAAGCATCAGAGGAGCCGGAGGAGGACCAGCAAGTCCTGCAGCACCAAGTCCTGCTCTTGCTGCTGGCTTGCTCAATGTTTGTGGTAAGACAGGTGTCGGAAATTCAAAGAAAGTAGTGATCTGCAGTAGCAAAACTATACAGAATGATTTCCAAAATGTAGCATGCACACTGCTCAAAAACAATAAATAAAATACTTTCTTATAACACTGCAGTAAATTACATATTTTAACAAGAACACTCTTGACACACTGCTATAACATAATATTTATAATATAAAATGTGTATAATATTAGTGTGTGTTTTTGTATTAAAATACAATTTAATACAAATATATGTGTATTAAAATAGTGCACCAGGGAAGTTTCTCTGCAGTCACTGTGCTGGTGAGACTACTAGCATCACAAATGAGGTTGGTATCACAAGAAACAGGCAGTGCTTGTACTGTGGGGGTGGGTGGGTGAGGGGCATCCATAGCAACACATTTCTTTATGTACCAGGAATGTCAAAAACCAGCGATTAGACAATACGCGTAAGGAAGAGATTTTCAGAGGAGGGCTGATTACAGAGAGAAGGGAGCAGACAAAGCAAGATTCATTTTAGGGGAATGGTTTAGGGGTTAGTAAAAGGGCTCTAAAACTGTCGCAGGTAAACTGATGAAATGTTATTGATAAGGAAATTCAGCTTCGGAACTTAAATGAGGCGTGTGATGCTGATGTTGATTGGTACCGAGTTGTGGCTAATTGAAGTATCGGATTCTGAAATTTGTTGTAAGGACTACAATTTTTTTCTGCGGGACAAGTAAACTAGAGGTGGAAATATTGGAAAGTTAAATTAAAAGTTCTTCCAAAAAGAAATAAATTAAAGGATTTCAAACTTTTTTAAAAAGGAATGATGTGGGTTTTGAAAACATACGAAGGTTTCCGGGCCCATCATTTGGTAAAGGTTTGACTAAAGTCATTAGTCCAATAAGTGTAGTGTATTTTTTAATCACAGGAAGTGGCGGTGCTCTGCTGGATGGCGAGATCAGACACTAACCTGCATGTCAGCTTGCGGGGATTTCCCCAAACATATATTAATCACCTGGTATCTCCAACAAGGTATCTCCCACCAAAGGGGCATTGCCATGGCTCTAAATTCTCAATATGTGTGATATTGTAGTGCATGTAGGTGGAAGTGTTTGTATGTAAGGAGTGAAGATAGGACAAGGAAAAGGAAGGAAAGATTGTGCATGGTCCTTGGCCCCTTTTTAGGTGGTGGATTGATTAGGCCTGGTGTTGATCAGAGAAACTACCGATCAGAACAGTTGGCCAGTAGAATTCTCCTCCAGACAGCAGCTGAAGTCGACTTAGCTATGAAGCTAGTATCCCAAATGCTGCCATGGTCGGGTCTTCAACCCTAGGACCTCCTGGTCAGAGGCACTGTAGTGACATCACTTCTTGCCCTGAGCCACCCAAGTTGGGGAAAAGTTAGGAAGTGGATTGAAAAACATTTGGGAAAAATTTAAAGAAATCATTGAGAATGCACAGTTACGCTATCCTCAAGTATATAATTAGAGGTGCTACAACATGACATTCTTTCTCGTTTTATTGGAAATAGTGATGTAATATTGAAATATTGTAATTTCTACCTACTTAAAAATTCAATTTTAACTTGAAAAGTCCAATTCAAAAGAAGCACATATGCCAGGAACAGTTGTCTTTTTCTCTTTTAGAGATAAAACAAACATACATGAATAAATTTAACTATTACAGTATTTGCAGCACATTATTCAGAAAAGAATAGTTTCCACAAGCTTGCCTTGTGTGGTTTCCCTGATCAATACCAGGCGAATGCTGGAGAAATACCCTAACAAATAGGCCACAGACCGTAATACTCATTCTCGCCTCCCTCCTTCTTACACATTCATAGACACCTACACTTGCACTACATTACCACACATGTCAGGAGACCAGTTGGGTAATTAGAGCTTGTCCTGGCTGGGGCAATGCCCATGTCTTGTGGAGATACCTGAAGGCAGAATAAACCTGCAAGCTGATGTGAGTCAGCACTGAATCTCGTGCGCCAGCAAGGGAGGAACACTGGCACCTCACAGTATATAACTTGTACTACACTTATGAGATAAAGTACCTAAGTTGTTGACGTGTCCAAAATCAGTACTGATTTTATCACTCAAGCACTGAGGGAGTCTATCAAACGTGTATTTCAAGTAAAGTTCATTCTATGATTGTGACTTTTTGTATGTTCCAGGGAATTGCATTTTCTATTTGGACCCTTGTTATGGATGAAATGTCAGGCATATATGTGGAACTGGCATTCTTAGATGCCAGTTTAAACTTTGGCCAGTCTCTCTTAGTATTTGCTGTATTTGGTCTGGATACCAAAGCTGTAATATTGCCTCTTGTCAGAAGGTAATTAATGATAATATGAAATTGAAAAAAATATGTATTATATTACAACAGTAATTTTTGTGAGAATATTTTTTATTTATTTATTTTTATCATCTATTGGCTACTTTCACAAATTATTTTTCCAGTTGCACATATTCTCTTGCAATGATAACATGAACACTTCATTCTGTGCAATTTTAATTTGTAAATTTCTCAAAATTTACATTTTTTCTCTCAGGTGTTTGTTAATTCTAATGACACACTTATTTGAATAATTAAATCAAACAAATTGTTTATAAATAATTGTTATTTCATATATGGTCTTTACGACAATGATAAAACTAATACTGATGTTGCATTAATAGATGGCGGAAGTTCTGGTACAAAACATCCGCTGTTAAGTTACCTGATTGGGAAGACCTGAATTTTGAAACTCGACACGTGTGTGATCAATTTGTTCTTCATCACTTAGAAAACTGCAGAGGGGATATTGCCAAAGATAAGAGGTAAGAACGTTATATAATTGTGTGCATGAAATGGATCTTTATATATTACTAAATAGGCCATTGTTTTCAAAAAGGCAGTCCATAAGCCATTGTTTTTGAAGTCCTTTGTGGAGAAACATTTCCGAAAGAATCTAATTTTTTATTGCGTCAAAGAACGGTGATAATTATGTGATGTATGGGGGACACAATTTGCGCACTTTTCTCAAGCTCCAGAATCTCTTCCCTAATTTTTAACCATAAATAGTTGAATGATGAATAAAAAAATCCACCAAAGTGAGATCAACATTTGAACACTAGACATTTTCACTCACAAGTCATAGAAAACTTGCTTGTGGATGTTAACCAACTACAGATTTGATTTTTAGTATTGCTAACAAAATAGTAACCTATACCATTGGCTCTACTACCACAACTAGCAAAAAGAGAACTAGACAATACATGTTCATAGTGAAGCAACATTTATTTTCAAGACTTGCTAGAGAATATCTTTCAGTTGCATTCACTAGCTAATTTCTTCATAGTGTTCACAAGAGAATTTCGTATAGAAGTAACTATGATCAAATATCCTTTTGAAGTGATTTGGTCATGGTATGCTTTTGCACAAAAGCTTCAATTTCCCATCCCCATCATCTTATTCTGCCACAGGCACTCACAAGCTCATTCAATTAATTTTTTCAGAGCTGACTTCAGAGTGGGTGACTAGCATTTCCCAATTGTATTTAAACCACGGTCAGTTTATCCATGGGGCAGACATTGAGGATGAGTTATGTGAATATTTTTGCAAACATTGTAGTCGAGCACAGAAGTTCCCAGTGGTCCTGTCAAATGAGTCCTATTATTAAAATCTGGTCACATCTCAAATGGTTGACTCAGTCCGCAGCAGTGGCTGTTAGCCATTAGCCCAGATTCACCGCCTTTCCAACCCTCCCCAATGTCTTTACATGTGGCATGCAGTCGTGTCTTGACATTGCATCTAATAGACATTTCAATTAGGGGCTCTTTCCTCTGCAAATCTATCAAGTTAATTGGCTTACATAAAATTACATATTAACGCAAGTCAATTGGTGTTTTCTTAATTTGAGTGTTATTTATTCAAGGTGGAGACTTCAGATGTATAAGAAAGTATTCACTGGTTCAGCATTGATTGATTGGCTGGTGCAGGCAGGTCTTGCTAGAGATCGACCAGAAGCCACACAGTATGCTTCTCTGCTGGTAAACGGGCGTGTATTGAGGCACATAGAGAGATTATATCATTTTCATGATCGGCCTCTCTTGTATACATTTGAAGAGTGATATATTCAGTTTCTGAAATGAAATTGAAATTCAGAAAATTCTGCCGCAACAATTCTTATTATGGTATGACTATGGTATGTACACTATTTTTCAGTTCAACAGGACAATGTGGCACTAAGAGCTGAATTTGTAATTCTGTCATAGTAAAAGTAGAAATATTGGAAGCAAAAATCAAAATGATCACTGGTAATTGTAATTTTTAAGTATTTTTTGGTTGAGACATCTTTTCCCATTCTTCCCATTGTATTAAGCATGTTTGTACGTTATTTGTAATGAAATTTCTTATTGATAAAATTGAGCATGTATCCATATGTTTTCACGTGATCTTATGATCCAAAGGGAAGTAATTATGAAGAGTTAAAAAATGGTATTTTTGTATGCCTTTTATTTTAATAGATTTTATTTATTGATATAATGTTGTGTATATAACTATAATTGTCCAAAAGTCTCATAGTTTTATATATTGTCCTTAAAACAAAATTTTATGTCCTAATATTATTTATTTTTGCTTTTGGAAAGTTTCGTAGGTGAATGTGAAAGTAAGTTGCACTTGGTTGTACCAATCTTCACAGTAATAGTGGTTAAAAGTTGTTTATTTACATGTATTACAGTTAAATTGTTGGAAAGTGCTACTCCATGCCAGCATATTGAGACATTGATTCAAAAAATTGTTTTGTGCCTTTGTTGATTAATAAAAATAAACTTGTGTGAAAATTTTGTCTCTGAATTATGGCCAGGTGCAACTCGCATTTTAATTCACTTGTGTACATCCAAAAGCAAAATCTTACAATGTTGCTTGTAGAATGTACCTCTCCAACAAGGCATGCTACTGCACAAAGGGAACTGACGAGGTTATGCATTAGTTTCCTGTTGACTGACCATTGGTGCACTTGACTGGGTTCCTTGCTTATCTCTACCAGTGATTTATTTGTGATCTTTCTCAGTTGGGGGAGCTTGTGGTATTGAGGGGCAAACGCATTTCCTTGCACTGCTGGGCCCACCTTTAATCCCTGGCTAATCGATGAAGAATTTGTGTAGGCAGTTCTTGGAGGGTTTTATTGTTGTTTTTCCATATTTGCCTCTCATTCCACAGTTTCTCCATCATTATAACCACTATTTCCTAGGCAAAAGATTACCATTCCGAGACCTGAGTTAACCTGGTTGTTTGGTGATCCCCAAACTTCAGTAAATAAATTCGGTGTAAAAGCTACATTGAGTTTCAAAAATGAGACATTGATACTACATTGATCACTAGTAGGTAGGGATAAGTAAAGTGGCCAGCTCCTCTAATTGAGCGGTGAAGGGGTGGTATTTGCAAGGCTGTTGAATAATTTATTGAAATGAATGGAAATGTCTGGTGAATTAGTTCTTTTAGCACCTTTTCAATAATAATTTAAGCAATATTTATATTTTATATATTTGAAAATGCAAATTATTAAAAATCAATCAATTTAAAATGAACACAAACATATGACGAGATGCAGTTTTATTGTAGTTTTTTCATGGTATTTTCTTTGAATTTGGTATATTGTATACATGTATAATTTTGTACAGTATGATTTGATTAAAACATTTGGTAATATAAAAAAACAGAGAATCAATAAATTATTTTATTATAAGAGACAGTACAATGTTTCATAAGTAAATACTAAATAAATCTTCAGAAACAAAAAACTTAACCAAGTTCACAAAAATTGCTGGACTAAATGAGGATTGCTCTTGATGAATGAAGAGTTGGTTTCAGAAGTCAAGCAGGCTGAAGTTGGCATAATGGCAGAATTGGATACGTGTCACAATATTTTAAAAGATTATTTTGAGCTTCTGTGTAATGGTTCAACATGATATCACTTGATTTTATATTGAAAGATTTACAGAGTTGCCTGAGGGTTGGAAAAGCCTCTTCCCCAAATGTCTTATATTAATTCCCCAAATTGTTGGCTTAAAAAATGGGGGATAAAGAATTTATAATATTATCCCTGGGTTGCATGAACCTATTTAACAATTCATGAAATGTTATTGTACTTGTAAATGTCTTAATGAAAGAAAACATGACAAAACCGTTCTTTAAGTTAAACGATTCGTTAAAGTACCTACTCTTTATTTAGACTGAAAATCAGCCCGTAAACTGTTAACCTACACTCTGCTATATACTGCATATGCAATTGCTATAATACTCTATGCTTTCTGTTATCTGTATACTTAAACATCGTTGTGTATTTTATGTGGTTTTTAAAATAAGTCATCATGGATAACTTTTTCCAGCACTCTTTTTAGATTCGTCACTGTATTGGTGACTTATTTTCATTTGTATTTGAGAACTTGCTAATAATATCCAAAAGATTAAATGTTTCTCTTTCCGAAAAATTTCTCCCTCTATTTCTTTTACTTTTATCCATTTTGGGTGCAACACAGTGGCACGCGGCGATAGTGTAACGGTTAGCGTATCGGAGTGTTATACTCAAATTGGCAGGTTCAAACCCGATCGAAGCCGTGGATTTTTAAGGGCGAAAAAATCCTTCATATGCCTTCCTTCAGAGGGGAAGTAAAGCCGTCTGTCCCATGTTAGTATATTTACTTGCATGTAAAGATCCTCAAGCTTGAATGATGCCTCTGAGCTAAATTAAAATCGCCTGTTTCTCGCCCAAGAAATACCTCCTTTCTCTTCTAGTTGGTGAAAGGAGTGTAGCGAAATTTGCGTGGTCTGAGGGAAGAGCAGGCCTCATGGCCTAAGTCTCGCCACATAAAATATGGCATTAATTCAATTCAATTCACAATTACATAGTCCTGTTACTAACCAAAACCACCCATATTATGAATATTATATATACCTATATTATATATAGCATATAAGGAACGAAGAGGTGGTGTTCCCATTGTGATCACAGATTTCTTGAGATTATTTCTGGTCACTTCTGGCACCCTAAAAACTGAACATCTTTTTGTTAAAATTTTACTTAACGGGGTCAGTCTGATCATTGTGGTCATATAATTTCCTCCATGCTCCACTCCATCGTTATGACACGCTGACGATCTCCTAAATGTTGCTGAAGTGCATCCACCTGCTTCTATGCTCTGGACTAGCAATTTCAACCCAGAGCTTGACTAGGCACAGTTTGCTATGAATCTCCAACACTCCCTTTCCCTTGTTCTTTCTTCTTCGATTAATGAAACGGTTACTACTTTTTTAAACCTGCTGTCTGAACTGAACCTGCATTAACATAATGGTATTGTTAATCATAAAAATTCGTTGCTTGATCTCATCTGCTCAAACTTTGACACTCTTGATGTACAGCGGTCTATTGATGTGATCCTTACCACCCTGCGCTCCCTTTTACAACACCATTATTATATCCAGTTGACTGATTTGAATCCTTCTTACATTTATGATTTTAAAAATGCCAATTATACAACTATTTGTTCCAAACTTTTGATTGAAGTTCCTATTTAGCAGCATGGATATTAATACAAATGTGGACATCTTTTATAATATTCTCTATTCACTAATTGACTGCTATGTTCCAATGAGGCTGATTTTTGGTAGCTCTTGCCTTTCCTTGTATTCCATGGAACTGATCCACCTCATCTGGGAAAAGAAAAGGTTACAAAAAGACTATAAATCATAAAGATCAACTTACTCCTCTCATTTGTTTTCTGCCATCAGAGTGTACGTAAGCGAACGTATTTGGGCATACATCAAGTAATGTATGCCCAAATGCTTTCCTACAGTAATTGTATTTCTTCTGTTGAAGAATCTATATCTTCTAATATCAATGTTTTCTGGAATCATTTATGTTACACCACAAATCACAAACATATCCCATGTAATCTGCACTTTCAGGATATTCATTGTACAGGATTGAGTAAAGCCATATCCATTTTTGCACAATACTTCAGTAATCAATTTTCTAACAACATATCATCCCTTACAGCATTTTCTCCAGTTTCAGTTGTGGAGGACCCTTTCATCAACAATCTTCAATTATGGTTGTGTGATATCTTTGAGAAGCTTGGTTCTTTAAATTCCAAAAATGGTCCAGGTCTCGATCTCATACCTAATGTTTTTCTCTCATTACAGATATGTCATAGCTAGCTCATTAATCTTACTATTTAATCAATCCCTCAGGTACGAGACTTTTCCTGATGTTTGGAAGAATAAGATTATCTCTGTTCATAAAAAAAAATGATATATCTGCCCTATTTCCATCTTAAGCGCCATCCCTAAGTTTTTAACAAAACTAGTGTGCATTAATCTTATATCTTCTTTTGAGCCTGTACTCTCAGACTCCCAGCATGGATTCAGGGAGGGCACGTCAACCTGTACAAACTTGGTCATATTCAAAAAGTTTATTGTTGATTCGCTTGCTGATGGCAAACAAGTTGATACAGTCTACAAATGGACCCCTTTTGAAATTCTTTGGCAGCTGTGGCCCCCTGGTCCCTGCCATGCACACAACTATGATTAACACCATTTCTGTGGAGTGTTCTTTTTCCTTTCTTTCTAAATTTGCTTACTGAACTCTCAATCCTCAGTTATCTATAATGTTAATTAATGCACAAGCAGTCTTTCTGTCATTCTATTGTATTGTAAGCTATTAATGCAGAATTCTGTCCCAAGATTTGTACTTTTGTATTATACAGTGTATGTACAGATGTAAAAAATTTATCTTTACTCCCTTTAATGCCAACGGGTAATGACTGACTTTCATTTATTCATTCGTGTGGCATCTACATATATAGTTGAATGCAGTGCCTGATCCTCCAAGTAACACCGAAATCCCCTTAGCACAAAATTTCCAAATTCCCTTAACCCAAAGAACCAAATCTTGTACTTACTGATCAGTTAATTCAGTTAACTCATCTTGTACTTACATCAGTTCATTCAGACCTTTCAATATATTCGGCACTACATTCTACTTGATAGTTACCGAAGGGTAAATGTAAATTCTTACAAAAGTTACACTTTTGTAGTTTTTGCTACATTTGTAATATTGTGACAAAGTATGGTTTCTCAAACCTCCTTGTACTTTACATGCTATTCAAGGAGTCACTGTATTGCTTTTTAAATTCCTTGATGATCCTAGAAGTGTATTAGAGTTGAGAAAAATGTGAATCCTATTAATCATTATCTTTACATCCTGGAAAATTATTCTAGTACGTACTATATACATGATTTTTTTTGTTTTATTTGATTAATGCTAGATTATTCTGATTATTATTATACATCTTTTAATCATACTTTGCCAAATATTGTTTTATTACCAATGGTTATTTCAGTCTTTGAGTGAAAATTAAAGTAAAAGTGTGGTAGATATTTGGTACAAGATGTAAATGAAGGTATCGTTTGCTTAAATGATGCCTTGGATGATCTGTGATATAGATCAGATGAATTAAATGACACCTCATGCCCAGCTATCTGCTATGGACTCTAAGCTGGAGGTGATTTGTCTATGGCAAGATTTCTGATCGTCTGTGATGAAATAAGTTGTCTGTTGTCCTGTTTACATAGTGGAGTCGGTAAGTCATTTTACCTTGCAAAAGGTGAGGAAGAAGATTTTATTTTTTTATTTTGTTTATATTGTTATGAGTAAGAAAACCCTAAGTTTTCCACTTCGAAATACTTCGACACAAGTTTTGGTAACCAAAAAAATTTCAAGCTTTTTATTTTTGCGTAATACGTTTTTAATGGTTGATCTTAGTGTAAAAATAATTCTGTATAATTTTAAAGGTCATAAAATGCTCTACACATTTGCTGTATAAATTATTTCTCTCAAGCAAATACTATCAGAGCTACTAGCTTTTAAAATTTCACCAAATTTTCCTTTTGATTCTGAAGTTGCCCCAAATTACTAATGGTCTCTCTAATGTAGTATTTTTGAATTCCAAAGATCATTATAAATAAAAAGCAATTAAAAGCTAATGTTTTTAATACTTACTGAGGTTAAACTCGCATTTGCTAGTTCTGGTAAGAGTGACTACACGATCTCTTCCGAGCTCAGTCACATTCTATCCTGGAGAGAGATTAACATGTATCATTATGGGGATCAGCTTTTCAACTTTGGTAATACGAGTTTGTTAAGCCTTGAATTATGAATTATGGGGTGATAGTATGATGATGATTATCATAGTCATTTTGAACCATCCCAGCATTCACCTGTGTGACCGAAGGAAACTACGAAAACCCCGATCCAGATGACCGGCCAGGGGATTGAACCTAGGCCTCCCGACTGCGAAGTCAGCGCGCTTCTCATTGAGCAACTGAGCCACTTCGCTTGGTTAATAATAAATAAATAATAATAATTGCTTTTATTAGTATTATTGTTATTATTATTCACAATCTCAGGAAAGACTGCCGTATTCACATAGACATTTTGTGCACAAAGTTATGAAGTTTTCTTTGAAACCATAAATGCGGATGAAAACCATCAATATGAGTGATGTTCGTATTTCCTTGCCTTAAAGACAATTCTGATGAATGCCACTTTGATGATTTGATGGGCAAATACAGGGAGATCGCCGATTGGATAGCGTTACAGAATAATCGTGCCTCCTTCAAAAGTATGGAGAAGACATTGATAACAGACAACAAACAATATATAATATATAGTTTCAAAATATTTGGTATAAAATATGAAATGACTTCAGGTACAGAAACAAGAATTATAGTATCGCAGATGCATGTGCGAGTGTAAAACAGCAACTGACGTATTCACAGGTGTACGAAATAAAGGAATACGTAGTATAGTCTAAACGTCGGCAACGCAGCCTTCGATGTGGAATTGCCCGGACAGCCAAGATCATTCACTTATACGTAACTAATTTTGCACTATTACATATAAAAAAAATGACAGATTTTTGTTTTTTGTTTTCTGGGGCACCAAAACTTGTCCCGAAGTATTTCGAGGAGAAAAACAACAGGTTTTCTTACTACAAACAATATAAACAAAATAAAATCTGTTACCTCTCCTTTTGTAAGGTAAACCCCCTTTTGGCTCCCCATCGCCTGCTCTAATAGCATAAGAGTATGCTCACTAGTCTTCCCCTTGTTTGTATACCTTTCAGATGGCAGAATTAGTATTACTCTGAGCATCGTAATTTTTGTGACGAGGTGACCAAATGTTACTCTTTCCCCAATATTTATGCTAACCGATTAATGTTTAGTGTAATAATTTAATGATTTGGTTGCTTCTGAGTATTGTAAAGATATTCAGTGTACACGTTTTCATTATAAGGTCAATCTAACATATTGCAGGACATGGGAAATTGATATCAAAAGAGGAATTCTTATTGGTACATGTCCAAAAGATGAAGTTTTTTATCTGTCTCACAAAAAAAAAAATTGTCAGATTCATCATTTAGTTCTAACTAGAACCTGTTGCAAATAGGTCTGCGTACCTTTGAGTTTTGTAGACATCAACATGTTCTTCGGTAGAGAGAATAGAATATTTCAGGTATATTTGTTTTAATGGTTTAATGGGTGAAGTAAATTTTATTGACATCAGTATTTTTCTCAACCAAATGGTTTGATT